ACTATATATATATATATATAATATATATATATATATATATATATATATATAGATATATATATATTATATAACACGTTCGCGCGCGCGTTTTCAATAAGAGGGCTCGTCTTTGGTCCGCTATACGCATAGTTGAGCGTTTACGGTGCAGCCCCCGACTTAATATAGCTTGTTATAAAACTCCTTTTTAATTAATATAACTTATAACATTCGCAATAGGCGGATATAAATTATCATTTGCAAGGTATAACTAATAATTAATAATAATAATATTAATAATCAGCATAGCCTAATAATAATCAATATCATCTTCGTTCGTATATCATAGTAATGGAATACCACTATCAAGAAACGCATCATTTTGTTGTTGCTGCTCTTACATTCTTCATAATCTCGCATAACTCGCTCCAGAATTGGCTAATACAAATTAGTATAAGAATAATACATATCGCTAATTATTATTCTACAATGGTACAGAGATCAAGTAAATGACCTGCGATAGTTTGGTAATGGTAGAGTGCCATTTCGCTCCAGAAAGTCGTTTAAAAATGTTTAAATTAAAATTACAAATAAAAATAATGGCGTATTGTTAATATTTTATATGTGACAATTTCAATTATTGTATCAAATTTTATGATTAAATTAAATTGCTTATCACAATAAAATTTTATTTCAATTAAAAAGAGTACTTTTCGCTTTATACATGTTAATAAACGAAGTAAAAATATAATGTCGCCTTTGGGAAACTCACTTAAATACATGCGTCGCTTATCAAAAGATATTATTGCCAATTTCCCCACTAAACTTGTATTTAATGTTCAACAAAGTCAGAGATTCTCTACTTAATCTAACTTTCGAGAGCGACATGCACGAGTATCGACATCTCGAAGTCACATAGAAACTATAGATCCTGATCTTAAATGTTCATAGTGACGAGAGACGAAGATGCGACACTTTTTAACATTGTTCGTCGCTTTACGAATACAGCATATCGATCACTAAAGCGAAATGAATCACACATTGGATTCGCTTTAAATTACTTTGATCTTATAACAATATCACCTTCGCTGGCGAAGCATTTTAAAATTTGATGCGACGAAATTTCTTGAACGACGACGCAAAAGACCACATTGGTACTACATAAAAAAGATTACATATATAAAATTCTCAGTGGTCACGATTTTCGCGATATATACTCCATTATTTCATTATCGTGACTTCGGTCAATTCAATCTTTTGAGTCGTCGTTCGCAGCATAATTTATTTTTGCGCAATTACATCTACCAAACCGATACAAAGTGAGAGATCGATTTGATCACCGATGCGTACTTTTTTCATATCTACAAGTGACGCGCGGCTCTTTATGTAAATTCTATGCAACTCAGGTAAAAGAGCATATTGCCGGACCTCTCAATCTGTTCGATCATTGTGCTGTAGTTCGTAGTTATTGCTTCGACCTCGGTTATGAGACATCGTCGCATTCCTTACGTGGATCGGTTCCCTTGCATTTGGCAATCGTTCTACACAACAACTCGTGGTGCAACGCCGCGATTGGTGGTTCTCGTCCGTGACGACGTCCTAAGTTCGTCACACCTTGTTGTGATGCCTCATCTCATATGCTGCGCTCCTCCCCCCTCCCCCGGAGCTCGAATAGGCGCCGGCATACAGCTCTGGGTGATTGGAACGGCTGTAATTGTCTGCTGACCCGCTACTTGGTGGCGCACTAGCTGTGGGAACCGAGCGATAGCCTGCTTAAAGTTTAGAAAAATGTTCGGCATTGAAACAAAACGCGTGAACAAAGAAAAACTGTGGATATGCGGGGATGGGATTGCTGCCACTAAATAGAGAAGATTATTGTCAAATGAAATATGGCAACAGGAAAACATAGCCGCGATCTCCAAGCTTTCTATTATTTCTCTTATCCTTAAGTCAACAATATCATTTTGGAAAATCATAATTTAGAATCAATACAGTCGATAATGCAAAATGAGAAAGGAGGAGTTCTGTTTTCACATATAAATAGGAAAGAAAAGTATTTCAGCTAGCATTCAGTGCAATGCCATGAACAATGAGCTAGGAGCAAATACAAGAATTTCACAGATATTCAAATTTTTTTTATCATAAATCACGAGTTCAAAAGTATAATTTATATTATATAACAACAATATTCGTGAATTTGCTCCTATTAAGCATAAGAATATAGGCCCCAGGCTCACCTCTGCAGGTCATAGAACGATAGTATCAGGTAGTCATAGATGCGCGTCAATGCGAGGAAGATGCAAACAGGAAAAGACATTGATGTAATTGCGGATCACACGAGGATGAGAAAACGCGAACAACGTTAACTTGAGTTTAATCCGCATTAGCAATTCTTTTTTTACTAATATGCATTTTTGCAGTGTACGCAATGTTGATTGGTGTTTAAGCATAGGAACTAAACTCAAGCAACGAGAAATACGTAGATGACTTAACAGTCTAATTTACCTTTTGGATAATATTGAGCACCTCTACCTTCCCCATAACCATGAGAAGGTCCACGTGTTCCGTGTCCACCTTGACTTGGTCTTGGAGGTATACTCCTTGGCCCAGCTCCGCCACCACCATGTGGATGTCGCTATGTCAAGAATTACAGATAATGAAATATGAAAAATTATGATCTTTTTTTCAAACAAATAAATTTTAAATTATTGATATTGCAAAAATTTTCTCTTGCATATAAATGTAAGTTGTATATATTCTTACCATTCTTCTAAGAGTATTCATCGGCCTTGTTAATGTATCACTGATGCGCCTTGCGGGCGGTTTTTTAGGATTAGTGGAAGGAATGTGCACTGCGCAACATTTAATAAATAGCCCCATAAATATGATGAAAGCTATACCCATTAATAACACTGCCCACCAAAATTCCTAAAACAGATTTGACAATGTTATTAAATAAATAATATAAAAGTAAGAGTAAAGTCTATACTTACAGTTATCCATTGCGCTACTGATGATAAAGTTTCTTTGTTGAATAATAGATTTTTCAATCTCGCAAGTGGTCCTTCTGTATCCACAGCTCGGCATTTCAAGAAAACATCGCAATAACCCTGAAGAAAAAATAAAAATTCTATAATTATGATATTTCCAAGACAATTTAATAATCTGTGCACATTGTATATCATTATATTTTTACATCGAAGTTAATAATTTACCTGAAAATTATCACAAGGCGAGCCAGGTCTGAGGCTCATTCCACCCTCGGGCAATCCTACCATATGTGCAAACTCGCTTGTACCACGACATGTTGATGCATCAGTCCCATTTTGACAGGCTAATTCGCAGAGTTTTCGCTTGTCGATGTTTGGTATGATGCTGCTCGTTAAAAAGCACTCTGTCAAATTCCACTCCAGGCAAATGGATCCTGTGCACTCTCCATTGATGCACAACTGTAAATAATGTATTGTTGAAGCCATCGTCAACGATAGTTAAATCATACAGTTCACAGAATAACAGAGCGCGATTACTTGAGTGCCCTCGTTGCATCTAGTCTTGTTGGCTTTCGGTAACGGCGCTGGACATTCGGAGGACCTTCCATTACATGTAGAATTGTAACTACAGTCCGATTCGGCTCTACATTGAACTCTTTGGGAGAGCGGCACAAACTGGCACGTTTCGCTCGAACAGCAGGGTCCTTGACTAGGGCTGCAAACGCATAATTACATTTATGAGGGACAAATCGGAGGGACATGCCGGACAATGTCATCCAGTTGCGTTTCGCTTGCATATATTGCGTACCTGCATTGTGTTCCGTATTTTCTACTACAACCTTTCGCCGTATCATTTTTTATTTTATCTAAATCGGACACCTGTCTAGGATAGCAGCATTTGTCCACGCACTCGTCGTCATCGTATCCGCAATCACACTCTTCGCCAGCCTCGACAATTTTATTCCCACAAAACGCTCCTATAATTAATAAATGCCATTAATATATACCTTGCCGGGTAAGTGGAAATATTAGACGTAACATTTATTTTTATTTCTCTTGTTTATTCTACTGTAGCGTGAAGAGAAAATGTGACGTAAAAATACCAGTGAAACAGTTCCTCTTCTTATTATCCTCAATAGCATCTAGGACGTTGCTGATATTGCCAATGCTGCACTTTGAAAACTTGCTGTTGTTCGGTCGATTTCCGCTTGTCGCCGAGGCGAACATAATGTAATTACCGTCCAAGCCTCCCGGTCTGCATTCCGGTGGAAAATCATGCTGGAAAAAAAGTATCGTTATCGTTACCTCTGCATTCTAGTTTGAGCACTTAGGTTCACGCGAATTTTTTTTCAACTTACCGGTGATCCGAAGTTATGACCTATCTCATGTGCCAGAGTCAGTTGCGATACTTTGGGCGGTACACGACTGTTGTAATTCACGAAAGTTATGATGCCAGTGTTGAGGGACCTCTTAGTGGACTGATACAGGCCAGACACCGTCTCGGTATAAGTCTTATACTTCTCACAGATACCGCCGGATGCACCGGACGCGGAAGCAACCCAGGCGAGTCCGAGAGTACCACCAGTAAAGTCTCTGTCGACAAAGCATGAAATAGCGTTTACAAAGCAGCCGCGAAAGCGGAAGCAAAACGTAGCATGTTGTTTTGTTACTCCGTTTACCTGTAGGTGAAAACGTAGGCAAGACAGAAGTCCTCGTGATTCGAGAGAGAATGGAGATTTAGGAAGTTGCTAACGTCGATATTCTCCATACAGAACGGGTTCGGCTCGGGGCTGTACGGTTGTTGAGGCGTGCACGCTGTCTCATCATCGATCTGTTATCAGATATAGTATGTCAGTTCGGCGAGTTGATATTCACACACCGACGGACGCTGTTTTCGGGCGCGATACTGTTACCTTTATTCGCTGAACCTCGAACTTGATGTTCCTGTGCTCCGTCCTACCATCAAATTTCGTGTCCCTGTAGATGTAATTCACGGCAGTGACGTGATGTGCGATCAAGGACAATATTTCCTCCCTGGTTTTCTCTGCGTCGTGATGCAACTGCAAGTACAAACACGAACGTGTTGAATATCCGTGGCAACTGTCTGAGATTGCACTCTCTTATTTTGTGCGACAAAATTTTTCCTGCCGTGTATTTGTACTTGACAGAATTTTCGATATAGAAGTTTCCAATTTCCAACATTAAATAGCTTGTAATTAAGTTTCAAGTTTTAGATGTTTATAAAAAGCTTGGCTTTCATATATATATATATATATATTTTTTTTTTAAGGTCTCAATTTAATTATAATTTAATGTGCGGATGTATTTTCTTAAATTGTAACGCTAAATATAAATGGAACTCTCTATAAGTTTTTATGAAAAAGGAAGCTTGAAAAAATTTATCTGAAAAAAATCATTAAAATTGCTTTCAGTGGAACGCACTATATGCAACGTACGGCGATATCAAAGGCTGCTGGAACATAGGGCGTAGGAGATAGGAATATTCTTTTTGTGAAGAATACCGGAATGCGGATGGTGTCTAGTTTGTTGAGAAAATGCAAAGGGGAATTGCACTGACCGTGCTGCCGACGAAAACGCATATGAATGTGACCATAGAAAGAGAACGGTCGGTATTCGAGGTATTTCTCTATTGTGTAAGGAAATACTGGCATTCCCTAGTTACAAATTGCCAGCAAGAATTGGGTCATTTCATCGTTTTAACACTCTGCTATCTTGCCTTTACTTTTTCTACGTAATTAATAAATATCAGTTTCGTATTACTCTTTCTCTCTTTCTCTCTTTATTGCTCGATAAACAGTAGCATTTATGGAAAGAAATATTTGATTTTTAAGTCCAAAATATAAATACAATACTAGAGAGAAAAAATATAGTATACTCTAAATTTAATCAAGTATGCCAATTTTCCATATGTTGAAATTTTTCTAAAATTAATTATAAGTTTTATAAAATGAGGAAAGTAATGACGAACATCTCTTACTGACTCAAATATATAAATTGCTTTTAAATATTCTCGAAAATATATAATAAAAAAAAGTGAAAGAATTTTTAAAATTATATCCAGTGTGTCTAGAATTTATTAAGAAAATTTAAAGAATGCTTTTTCAACAAATTTACAAGTGACGCACTTGAAAAAAATATCACGTACCTGTTCGGAAATGTGCCTCCATATAAGAGGATCCGTTTGTATAAAAAGCGAGCAAGTATTGTTCTCTTTCGATCTGGTTGCTCTTCGTGGCCTGCGATGACTAGGTTCGTTAGCTTCTCTACTATACTTGTGACCGGGAGTCTCCCGATCGCCATTCCAAGGTATAACATTTGGTTTCGGTTCCTTCTGACTTGTCGGGATTGTCTTAGGTGGTTCATCCGGTACAGCGGAATTCTGCACTCTTTCCATCCATTCTATTACATCACTATTGGTAATGCCACATCCACCGCCGTCACCTGAAAAGTTTATTGTCGATACAAGATTATTTTTATCGTCAAAACATGACATTGATATATTATATAATCGCATGACACTTGATGAATAAACTTATTTCCTCAGATTAATAAATTAAAAATCTAATTATTATTCTGAATGTATTACTCTGATATTACTCTATATATTCATTATATTTATAATCTTGTTCCAAAAAGAGTTTTCTAAAACAGTAAAATTAATCAATTGTTACGAAAAATATTGAATTTTGTCGTGTTAAGACTATAATATCTATTTATTCATGGCTCGAATTGACCATAGTGGGAAACAGCACAGATAATAATAGAGGCCATTGGTGTTTCTGCTTTCTGAACTATGGTAGATGAAAATCTGGGAGCGTGAGTCGTAAGCCATTTCGAGGTAGCGCCGCAAGGTTCCTAATTAATGGCAAAGTTCATTGCCATTAATTCTGAATCTGGTTGTGGAACTCGAAACATCCACGGGCCACGTGGGAGCCTTACATCATCGATGGGGACTGGGATACATGCGCTTCGAGTTCTATAGATAGGCCAAAGTCTATATTCTGAGGCGTCTTTGGATAGGAATATAGATCGAATAATAACGACGTGGAGAAGCCGCCCAGGTCACGTATCGTGCAATCTGCGTCACGTGAGTCGCGTTGTCATCGAAACAGCGGCGCGGCTTAATCATTGGCACAATTCCGCAATACGCTCGAGGTATCTGCGTGAAGCGAATATATGGGCATAATGCGGCGACTAATGGCGACCTTGTCGCGGTCTCCCGGGTGTCGTACCGTGGTGCATAACAACGCTGTTACGCGCGGAAACGCTGTATACGCGTGCGAGAACGCGACGCGGCCCGGCTCATCGGAAACCAACTTGCACGATTTCACGAAGAGAAAATGTCTTCGTCCTCGACATGAAATATATTTCCCGACATCTGCAAGATTTTTTTCACGACAATATTTTTTCATCCGCAGCTTCTGTTATTTTTGAAGGCTGAAAGAGCGATTTAGTAAATTGTAAATTTTTTTTACTTCTTTTCTTTCTCTGATTTTTATTCACTTCTTTTCATGCAATTTTAATCGATAGATAACGTAAGCAATATTCAACGAGCTTGTTTCAAGTGGCAAATTGAACGTTTTTATTCTTGCAGTGTCTTTGCTATATTTTATTAATTTATCCTACTTAGATTGTCTTGTACACTTTATATAAAGGAGAAATATATCATATTTTTTTGATTCGACGTTAACAGGCTAAGATTAATATCGTATCCTCTTAGAGATTCTCCTGATTCATCATCCAAAGTCATCTCGCATAAGTATAAACCAATAGCATCATCACCGATACGGCTGAGATAATCGTGGCTGTCGGCTTTATTGGCTGGTTAACCGCTGGTAAGCCGCGAGCTTTAATGACTAACGGCGTTTCAGGTGTGACGATATTGGCTGTCTGTGCTATTGCTGTCTATTATCACCGTCGACGTGTTAGTGTTAATAGACATTTCATAAGGTGAAAATGAAAGAAATGTCGACGAATCAACCGCGCTGCTCTTCCCAGGCGCGTGCTCCATCCGTTAATGCTCGACTCGCGGATGACAGATTACTGTACCATTTACAAGTCATGCATTTTTCTAGGCCTCAAAGAAACGCGAATTCAATTTTTTTGTCCAAATCAGAGCTCGATATTATTTGAAATATGTATCTCTTAGGAATGTGTTTACGTCTCCTCCTCTGTGATTTTCTTCAGCCTCTAAATATCATCTATCGTGTCTGATAATCGCATCACGCTCCAAGAGACTTTGGTCTCCCAGCACATTTTGCTTTATTCCATTTTTGCTCTTCTTGGTCATCGTCATGCCTCGCATAGTGCCTCCAATAAATGTAGCAAACTCATAACGTCGGACGTGTTTCCGAGAGGCAAACACAGCGAGATTTGGGTCCACGCAGCATGCACGGACGGGCGGCACGATAAATATTACACGCAATACGCCAGCCTGTTTATTTCAACGTTGGCCGTTTATGCTACCGAGCACGGTGATGACGGTGGATTGCGCAATGCGAAATCTGCCAGTCATCCGTGCAGTCAACTGCGCTGACTATGCCCGATCTCAGGGACGAGACTGCACCGAAGGCAATACCACCCGCATACTCATCCGAATGGACTACTTTCCTCCCTAACGACACTGTAAATGGTGCATGGAATTCGTATCATCGCGCGGACTTGCCGATATCCATATTCACGTTTAAGCGACGCAATCTTACGCTGGTCGCTAAAGCGCTTCATTTCGCTTGATATCGCGAATTCGCTTGATATCGAATACGCGGAGGGACGCCGATAGTTCAGCAATTTCGTCCGAATTGGCTGATCCTCCGACAAATTTTGAAATAATTTTGCCATCGGTGTAATTTTCAAATGTAATACGATTTCTCAAATGTAATACGATTTTATACACTGAAAAAAGTTATGTTAATGGCAAAAAAAGAGAATTATTCACAAGTAACACAAGATTTTCATTAGACAATTTTGTTAAGATAGCAAAATGTAATATTTTTTTTTATTAGACAGGCAAACGTTTTGATTTAATAACACAATTTCATTTGGTTACTCACATTTTGTAAATAATAATATAAAATGAGGTTGCAATTACAAAAAAATAAATATTGTTAGTTATTTCAACAAAATAATCTTATGATAGAAAAGATTTTTGTTAAGTATAATGTGTTATGTGGCTATTTTTATGTGATAGTGTTTTGTAAAATATTTTTGTTAATTGTATTTTTATTTAATATGTTTTGTGTATTTTGTGAGTGTGTGTATGTAATAAATTTAATAAATTAATATCATAAATAATAACCAACGATTTAATTGGCCATGAAATAGCTTTAACATCAGTAATAGAATTTTTCTTATTCATACCAAACATTTCTCTCAATGCAGAGACTTCGTGGGAATAGAATATATTTCAGTAATACTTCAGTAATATTTCAGTAATGTATAAATAATGACAACAAAATTATATATGACACACTGATTTATCTTAACCTTAGGATGCATTAAAGATCTATAATTATATCTATATATATAAAAAAAACTCTTTTATTACAAACATCCTCAGTTAACATACCCTTTCATTAAGGCGAGTGGCTCTGACGTATGGATAGACGTGTTTTTAAGGACAACTGCTGAAGGATCGCATTAAAGGAAGAAAATGGAAGATGTTCCGAGAAGAGAACGAAAGATAGGCATCGCGTGACAAAAGGGTGGAAAATGGAGAGGCACGATGTCGTGAGGCGCCACATCGAGGTCACCGTCGTTGAACAACATGTCCAGACAAGCGTTCAAAAACGTTCTCGGTCGTATGGCCGCCTTGTAATTAGTAAATCTTTCATGCATGATGGACATAATAATTATTATCGTAACCGGTAGTTAACCAAATCGTTTCCAATTTAAATTTTTCATTTTCTCCGAATACATATGCGCGCGTTGTTTTCTCATCTTTGCATAAAGAAGCTCGCAGCTTTGTTCGAAGTCGTTATACAAGCGCGATTGTTTCGAACATTATTAAATAAACTTTTGCAACTCAAGCCCAATGCACAATTTATGTTATCGCCCGTAATGTAAACGAATCAGCAGAACTTGCAATAACAAAATAACGAAAAAATGTTTATGCAAATGTACTTCACAAAGATATTGGAAAATCACAGTGTAATTTCATAAAAATATTTTTATTTGTTACACTGCGTCATTTTTTTTTATATTTAAAAAGGTATGATTTAAAGACTAACATATTCTGCTGTCGTTTCATATTCAAATAATTTTTAATTCTATTAAAACTAAATGTTTTGTAAAGGTATAGGTGTTGGAAGTATAAGATATACTAGTAAAAAAATAACGAACAACGTCAGATATTAGAAAGTTTTGTAATAAATAGCTCAAAGTTAAAGGTCCTTTCTCTGGTTCAAACAAATTATGCGCGCGAACTTACGCGTGAACAGTAACGTGCGCGTCAGGAGTAATAAAAAGCAAGTTAATAAAAAAATGCATCTTATTTTCTGTCATCTTACCTTGTCGAACGTCCACGTACGGATCACCGACGTCATTCTCATGATAGATCACAGAATGTAACGTCTCATTTATCTCATGCGGCGGAAAGTAGTAATGCGCCCTTTCCACGTACCACGCACCACTTTTCGGTGATACTATCTTCCCGTGGAAGACTCCATCACTGACACTTCCAAACACGTGGCTACCAGGTTCGCCTGAAAGCAGAAAATATATTCCAGATCAGACGCGTGTCGAGAATAGCTACAGGAATTTTTATCATTTTAATCAGAGCGATAAATCTTTAAGCACGTAAGACTCTCATTTGGTGCAAAATATAATATTAACAGCAAAATATAGGGTCATCATAGTCATCAATATCATTAGTTATTTTTAATATTTTTTTCATTATTTTTTTTTGGATTTCTCACGTATTAATCTTTAAATATTTCAAAAGTGGAAATAATTATTGTATCGAAAGTAGTATTAAAGAGAGATTGAAAAAAGATGTTTCAACTTTAGTTTTTGTTTCTCTTTTTGCACATATTTTCGTATTATTTGGAACAAAGAAAATTCTGAAAGTAATACGAATATTTGGATAGTTGCACATATAAGTAAGAAACCGTGTTCAAATGTCTGTAACTCTTGTTTCACTTGAAAAAGTATCGACTGTGGTGGAAATTTTGTCGGCAAAACTTTCGGCAGAAGTCTGTTGGCTTACGCAGCAACTTATTCTTCCTATCCCGCTATCTAATTTATTCGTTTAACCGTAGAGATTCACGTAGAAAAATTAATATCGTGCATATATATTTTTATTTTGCCGCAAGAATAAACCAGTAAAAAATTAAACAGGACAGAATAGAGATCTGATTTAATTACAAAAATAAAAAATGTATAAATATGTAAATTTTAATATATACAGAATATTCTTTCTTGTAAAAAACTTTTTATGTATGAATTGTTTGCGTCAATCTTTTTGTTTAAAATTCCCTAGTTTTTAACTTGTATGCACATGATAATGATGTCGATAGTAAAAATTTTATAAAGTAATTTTGTAACATGAGTTCATTTCATGAACTTATATAACTTATAACTCTTTTGATTTAAAATTGAAATGTGACGATGTAATTACTGAACTTGCAAATTACCAGTTTTATTGAGTTAAACAATATTATTTTTTTTTTATACTAAAGGAAATTAACAGAGATTTTGATGTGAAATTTAAAATTATCAAGATGTTATTCTAAAGTTGCAGCGAAATTTGGAATAATCTAATCAAATTTCGCTACAGAAAATCCGCCTTCAAATCCATCACGAATCAACTTTAAAACGGTCGGTATTTTGTCAATTAATGTGTATGGCATGAACTAAACAATATTATTTTTCGTTTTATACTAAGCAAAGTTAACTGTGTCGGAATTTTTATGTGAAACTTGGAATTATCAAGATATTTATTTGTTATTCTAAAGTTGCAACGAAACATGAAATCCAATCAAATTTTGCTAAAGAAAAGCCAGGATCTACAAAATCCACCAGAATCGACCTTGAAACAATCGATATTTTTTTCCAATTAATGTATGACATAAATAAAAAGACTAAATAAAGTTCTTGACAGCTTCTCACAAGAACAGCTGCGCCTTCGATAAAATAAGTAATATCGTAAAACTAACATATATGAGAAAATAATATAACGTTAAAAAGAAATATCTTTTTGCCAATCATCTGCGAAATTCGAGAATTCAGATTCCATAGATATATCATCCGATTTAAAAATTTCTTCGATAAAACATGCAATGAATATTTTATTTCCCTTTGTGCGAAGGAACTACGTTTGTCGGCAAAAATGCATTTGGTTTTAAAGGAAATGTTGTATCTCCGTCGCGGATATAACGTATGGAAAATATTTTACGACACGTTTTCGACCAACCGGACCGAAAGGTATTGAATCATTAAATGCGGAGGACAAAACCTCAGCGAGTATTGCAGGTAGCCAGATAAACGACAATAATAGAGAGAATATTCAAAAAGCGTTTCGCGCATATCCTTTTTCCCTTTAGATAATAGATCATAGGAAAACGTAGTCGCCCGCACAGTCGAGCTTATCACAATTCAAAATTCCTTTTGACGCGAGAACAAAGGGAATCTTACACTTCCGATACAAGGGAATCTTACTTTCCGATATAAAAAATTTCAGTCAGCCTCTAACATCACTTTAGAGTTCTCTCTCGCGCGCACCTCTTTTTAACAATAATTTTATTCTTTAATTTTTTATATGAAAATTTAAACAAAATTATACTCTTCAAAATATATAAGTAATATTTGTAAATTTCTATCACGGAAAAAATGACTTTTCAAATGGAACACTTTTTCAAAGTTAATTAAATAAAGAATTAAAATTAAAGCGGTAATCTTGAATATTTTAGTCCAAATTGATGGTCATGTACTAACTAGATGATTCTTTTAATTTCTGAAAAATTTAAAACGTGGAAGATATATGTCTGAATAATCTTTCATATTTATAGTCGTAAAATTTTCCACGGGCTTGACAAACGTTGTACTTCGAAGAACTCTGTAACAGTGACAAAGTGCTCGTACGGCTAAATTTCCGACTTTCAGAGTTCCTTTGATCCGTAAATTGAAATATGCCTTTTCGCGGCATTATATATCCGACGAGGAGACCGAGGCTACAACTAGGTCGCGAAAAGTCGTGGTACGAGGTTTGATAGATAAACCGTTTCCCGCCACCTCATCCTGATTCATAATTTAAAACGTCCTCTGGCTTGCTGCCCTCCCGTAAATTACACTACACTGAAAATTCCATCTGGTATCTACGCCGACACGCAAAAGTGCGTGTCGGCGTAGATACCAGATGGAATTTGCCTCACCTGACATCGGGAAACGTCGCTTTCGCGACGCACAAAGTAGCGGCATCGCCTCGTCGAAGCTGCACGATGCGGGATGCAACCGGAATGCATGCCGACGACGGAGGTCAGACAGACCACTGAGTGTGCCGCGGTTATAAATTTAAGTATGGCTCTTTGTTTGTACAGTTGAGAGCACTTCCCTCTACTTCTGTTAAATTTAGTTTATTTTGACGGAAGTTCTTTGAATATGCAGAGCGTCTCGTAAGGATAGCGTTAAACTTCAGCAGTGCATTCTGCGATGGATTTGAAGACGGCTTTCCTTCAGCGAAATTTGATTAGATTCCATGTTTCGTTGCAACTTTAGAATAATAAACATCTTGGTAATTCCGAGTTTCACGTCAAAACTCCGTCGCAGTTAACTCCTGCGCCTCGGTATAAAAAAATAATATTGTTTAATTCAACAAAATCGGTTGAATTTGTAAGTTTAATAACCATCATTCAATTTTAAATCAAGAAAATTTTCCGCCGCGGACTCTATCCTCATTTTATTTTCATTTGCAACGTAATTAATGATACGAATGTTACAATGGTAAATAAAGATTCGCGCGTTAAAATTTATATAAATATGTAAAATTACATTTCGATATTTTCCGACTTCTTTACATAGCAACTGCTTTCCTTCGGCGCACATGCAGTCGTTCTGTTATTTTTGCAGAAACAAACACAGATATTTCTTGCGTAATAAATTATTAAAATATTTTCAAAGAACGTTGTGAGCGCATATAAACATAGAAACTCATACGATTTTATGCTGGTGAGTCTCCCGCGAGTAGAAAGTTCAAGCGATCGCTACCGATCGATTCTATGTAACTTTACATTGCGGGCGTCATTTATGCGAATATATGGGGCACCGAGAAGATTGTCGACTTGATATCATAATATTGCAAGTCTATATTTGGAAAGGTGCGTCGATGTACCGATGTACACAAGATGTACCGTTCAAGTTACAGACCTCTAGCTCTATTACAGTACACACACGCAACACACATACGAGGTATATGCATAACCGCGCTTTCATTCAACAATAGATGTTATAGAAATAGCTGAGAAAAAGTGTGTTGAGATATTTTGTAACTTTACTGATACTGTATGTCATTTATATATAAAACAACTTTTTAAACTTTTTATTTGGAGTTTATAAAATCAACACTTCAAATTCAAACTACTTTTAAATTAAATTATATATTAATATTAATTGAGGAAGAAATGCGGTTAACTGAGAGAACGTAGATATTTGCACTGAGAAGAAAGTTACATTAACATGGTAACAAAAAAAGAGAATTGTTCACAGTAATTGATTTTCATTAATCAAGTTAAAAGAGCAAAATATAATATTCTTTTAATTAAATAAGCAGGCTTTTTGATTTAATAATATAAAATTGCAATTACAAAATAAATTTTCTTTTAGTTATCTCAACAAAATAATCTATTATGATAGAAAATATTTTTGTTAAGTATATTTTTATTTAATATGTTTTGTGTATTTGGTGTGTGTGTGTGTGTGTGTGTGTGTGTGTGTGTATTCAATGAATTTAACAAATTAATATCGGCGTGATAATCAACGATTTAATTGCTCATATACCAATAGTTAATATAAAATAATTTTAACGTCAGTAGCAAAATTTTTGTTATTCCTTTACCAAATATTTTTCTCAGTGTATATAAAGTGAAGCATACCGATTAGGTTGCCCTGATAAATATGGGAGACGTCGGAGCCGTACTGCCTCTCCCCCGTGGACTCCTCGATAATTAGGTTGTTACTAAAGGTGGTCAAGTCTCGCTTTAATCGGATGTGGAAGTCCTTGCCGTGCGCGCGAAACTTTAACGTCACGGTGCTGTCGCGGTTGATCGACCTCTTCGCCCTCAGGTGGCTCCGGTGGACCTCCTCGACAGGATATGACAGCGTTTCGTAGTGGCGGATGTACTCGTTTAATCGGCGAGCTGCAACAAAATTCACTCGATAATGCACTCGAAGTATGCGGCTTTGTGGAGTGTTAAGTTAAACTTTATTCAATTTCGGAGTCCGACCTGCCGCAGTCGTGGAATATTAAATAGCCTAAGACGCAACTTAAGAGAACTCGAATAAAGATGGCCTTATAGAAATAACTGCTATAAATATGCAGTGACATCGAGCGGATATTGAGCGTCTCCTTCGAACCTATCAATAACAGAGCCGTATTTTATCTGCGTATTTTCACGGATAAATAATGGCCGGCCAAACTCGGACACGCGCAAAGGCTGCCAGGAGCTCTCTGAGACATTTCGCGTAATCAGGTCGATCGAATAAATAATTCAGTGTGTCTATCGCGCGAATTTTTGTGCTCCCCTTACACAAGCCTGCCCGCCAGCGACGCTAGGGAGACGGACTTGTTTCTCGCAAGTCTAACAAGTCCCAGCTCGGCTGTCTCATATTGCACGATAAAAGTGCGGCGTGATCCGATCGACATGTTATCGATGGGGAGAATCGGATCGGAGAAATCCTCCGGAGATTCGTCTCGGAATTGTGCTGCGTTTAGTAGCTCATCCCTGGTTACGTTAACGAGACAAAGTCCTCACAGAGAGTGATACCAGTTTTACTTTTCGCAAGGGGAAGGGGAACGGGAGGAGGGAAGGGGGGGGGGATGTTGTGCATAATTTTCCAAAAGCGCAGTCTGAATTTATATTAGGCGACTTTTACCCCGTGAAAAAAATTCGCGACAAAGGGGAGGCAACGGCCACGTGAAGAGCTACCCCCATTTCGCCGGATTTGACGTATCTGCCGGCGATGTGAGAATGCACGACACCCCCTTATCCCCTCCGGGAATCCCAAACGCTTTTCGCCGAGATGCCGTTACTCGGGCAAACTCTCGGAACAACGTCGCCGTAGTGTATGAATATTATGGAGGGCAAAAATGCACTTTCCTCGTCGCGTCATTTAGCCGATTTTCTAAAGAGCGTCTCGCAAGCACCTCGCATTACGCATTACGAGACGCGCACCGCTTCTCCACCACCTCTCGTATTCACGATAAGTGCAATTGCGCAAATGAGTCGGCCGATGCCAGACGCATAACTTTTAAGGCTGATCACGGTAAATGAGGCGCGTAATTCCCGAAGTTCTTAACTGTCTTTGAGCCTATTTGTCGAACGACGTTAAATTGTGTCGCGCTAAACGAAGATATCTCACTCTGAACACTTGCTCTGAACTTTGTGTTGTGTGCGACGTCATTCGGAAGGAACGATTTTGCTGTAGTATCTAATGATTTGGTCGGACGCAGATTTATAAATAATTTTGGAAATAATTATGTAGAATTCTTAAACATGAGCAGGACACTGCAAAATTTTTCAATACTCTAACGATAAATTCAAGCATTCTAATAATTATTTCGATGGTTTCCAATAAAATTATTTTCACACTTATATTTGATAAAATTTATATATTTTGCTTTAGCAAAACCTTTTTTTTTGTGATGAGATTGACTAGATGTATTATAAAATATATTTGATTTACATTTTGTGATTGAAAGGATATATATTTTATAAAAACATATCCTTTCTTCGCTCCGATGTTTACACGACGCGCTGTTACAAAACGAGATCACTCCATTATTTTGTGAAAATTTGACATCCTCCACGTTCGATATAACTTTTATTCATGAAAAGTCATTCGATAAATATCGCGAAGAATTTATGAACAATCAGGATTAATTTATGTATCCAAGGAAAATGTAGAAAGAAATGAAATTGTTTCATGATCGACATTTTATCTTAATATCAGGCATTTAATATCATTATGCGAAAGAATTACACGATGCTGCGCAGCCTGAGAAATCATAAAGATTCTTACGCAAGAGCATTGCGCGTTCAAAAGCTATAATTATAGCGTCTTATTATGCACAGATTGAGTATCCTTCCTCTTTTCCGGTATTCAATACTAAACGATATCTTCCAAGCGCATTTAGCGTTGCAATTTACGAAGATCAAAAGAAATTCTGATACTGAGTGATAATGCAACTGAATTATATTTTTCGAGATATCTCGCTTCCGCCGTAATATCGCAAGTGGAAAAATTGATTTTTATAAAAGCGGGCACTGCACTGTACTTTATTTAGCCCCCAGGTACGGGGGGATGTTAAAAGGAAGAACAAAAGAACATTAAAGTTTCCTAGGGTTTTATTCTTAGACTGCGGTATTGGAACAAAGAAGAATTTTACGTGGTAAGCTCGAAATAAGCTGATTGTCCACCTTCGCCACTCTCGTCTTCACCCGCCGAATCAGACCATCGAAGGAGACACGAAAACAAATACGGAAGGCTTATCAACCAACGTCACATCCATCTACGTTAAAGGAAACGTTTCAGCGTCCATTTATTACATGATAATAGGACCATGTCAGTCTGTCATGTAATCAATAAAATGATTGCGATCTCTTTACCCGTCTCGTGATACACGTTAGGTAGTTAGCTATTCCAAAAAGAATAATTATTCTCGTTTATACATTCACTGCCAATATCACGTATTTTGCCGAAGTGTCAGACTTAATAACAAGCTCGTATTTTTTAACGAATGTGAAATTGTTCTTTAATAAAACTCTAATTAAATACCATCAGTTTTTTTTTGTTGCGTCTCAATTTTCAATATCGCAATTATTAGATAAAAATGCAATACCGTCGATGCATTTCTATAACTCTTACGAAAACAATATTAAGATAATTGCAAAAAATTTCACGATATTTTCATCACGATTGACAGCTAATATGGATTAAAATTTTATTAAAGCTCGTTCGAATTAATAAATCAGATATCTCGCAATTATATTTCTATTTATCGATTCGGGTGTTGATTTCCAATGTTTAATAATACCGTAATTATGTCATTGAACCCGAATCCCGAGATCCATTAGGCAATAATGAATTCTGTCTCACGACTTTGCATTTCGGCGAATACAACCTGTATCGAATAAAAACTCAGGAAACAAGATGCGACTCGCTTCCATATTTCCATTCGCTCTCGAATGAATAGAAGGATTCGAAACGAAACATGAAAATGTATCGACATCTAAAGCTGTAGGGACGCATATGATGCATGAGACAGACTGCGACGACGTACCTTTTTATGCATTGTAGCGGGAGGTGGATCGATACGGCGTTCGTATAACGTTACTAGTTTATCTCAGAGCGTGAAAATTCCGCTCGCTGTAGCACGGGGAAATAAATCAAACGCGCCTGCATCTTTTCGGTGGAGAAAATATACCCCTGTAATACGTAACGAACGCGGATGATATTCCGAATGTGTGCGCAATAAAATATAATAGTTTTTCGCGGAACAATGAAAAGAAATTCCCTCCAGTGATCATTTTTCCAGTTAAATTACGGAACGCTCACGTATCTGTTGACAGTTAAATAAAATTAGAACTTTACAGGAAAACGCGCTTTGCCAATTGTATTTCAGCTGGCATATCGAAATAAATCTTCTCAACCTTTCGCCCCCTGCCCCCGCGGACGGATCAAATGTCGGACGAGATCGCACACGATAGAAAAGTCAAACTTGGGTTATTTTGTTATTTGCAGCGCGAAAACAGAAATCAAAATAAAGTGAAAATGTAACTTCTTCATAATCCTGTGCCGGAAGCGAAGAGACACTAGAAAATTGAAGAGACATTACTGTACTTTAATGTAATTTCATCCGGTGTTGTAATCCTATTTACTTTCAAGGGGATATAGTAAATGAATAAAGTGTTCGATACACAAACTCGGTTTACAAACCGTCGAGGAAATTAAATCAATTAGAAAAATCTTTTTATTATCTGGTAAACACAAAATTAATTTTTAAGAAAGATGATATCATTTCCACTATGTCAATCAATATTCGTTTTATATAATAAATGAAAGTTGAAATCTAAACTTGCATATATATCAGAGTTCTATTAGGAAATCCTATATTTGTCGCTATGTAGACTAAATTCAGAACAAGCTCGACTCCCAAATAATATCTGGTTCCATAATTAGGAATGGCTTCCTTAAGTAATATTTATCGCTTTACCCAAGTTTTAATTACGCCCTAACAAACGTTTCCAATATTCCGATGCTGAAAAGTAATTTTGACTATGGGAGGACGTACAAAAACCTATCTTGGACGTCGGTTTCGCAACCACTTTAATATCTTGAAGAAAAAAAAACGAAAAGCAATATTCCGAAGAGACGGGGAGGGGATAGATGATATTGGAAAATGAGGTACGGTAGTCTGTAGCTCCCCATTCTACCTCGCAATTTTCCGAGCTATGTCTTCGGCAGCATCGGTATTCTTTCTTGCGCGAATTGCATCGAAAACGCTCCTCGGAGCGCCATGATATTTGGATACGGAGATGAAGGTGCCGCGGGGCCGAGAACAAAAATGCAAATTGTGTGTCTATCCGGTGATACCGACGGGAGCCATCAATCCTCTCGTTGCCGGCATCCTCTCGTAGCGCGACAAAAGTACTGTTCAACTCTGTAATATATTTCGAAATGACCCTGCATGTCTTTGGTATAAATTATCATGCACGTACAATTTTATTATATTCAACCATTTTTACCAACATTCTTCCCTTTTCTCGAAACCACCTTCTTTGCGAATCGGTGAATTTAAGTGATTTTTCCTCGGAAAGAATTTACATAGGTTCGTATCTCTCTCTTTTAATAATTTCCTAATTACAAAAACAATTTTGTAAAAATTTTGTATATTTTGTTATCACAATATACAAGAAATACAAGAAATATGCTTTTATTTTGAAATAATTTCCCATAGCCGTGGAGTTTGATCTTATATCTTTGATCTTATTATTACTTTTTATTATTTTATAATTTTACAATTCTGATTTTGTGTTTTTAATTCTTTTATTTTATTTCTCTATCGTTATGTATGTTATTCGATACAAAATTCGCGATGATCGCAAGCGATCGCGAGCGATCGTCACGTTCGCTAACG